ATTAGAAAATGTTAATATATTTAATGCTATTTGTGTTCTTTCATTTAAAAGTAAGTTAGTGTCTGCTTATATGCAGGAAACAGTCAATTGAATTTGAAAGTGTTCATCAAACTTGATTATGGGCCTACAGTTTGGGGCATGTGCAGTTTGTGAAAGTGTCCTATGTTTAGATTTGGCCTTTATGAAAGTTTTGTCAGTGTAGTTGTTAGTTCTTTCTCCAGCTGTCAACTGTGAAACAGCCTTGTTGCTAAAGCCTTTCACATATGCAAATTTAAATTCTTTGAATAAAAGAACAATGAAGTTTCAAATTTTTACTTCCTCGTGATACAAACTGCTGCTCTGCTTGGAAGGTCTTGTGCTAGTGCATTAATGCAGTTACACTGATAAAAACAATCTTGAGTTGCTCTTGTGACACCCAGTGCCCTCTCCTGTAGCTGGAGTGAATCCTACAGGTAAAAGTGCAGCTCTGCTGGTATCGTCCTCTCTGTGCAAGCAGCTCGTGGCAGCCCTGCTGTGTTGAGCAGGAATTGAGCCCTTTCATGTTCCCGACTGTGCAAATCTGTAGTGTAGACGTGACCATGGTCTTGTCTGCTAAATAATAAAGTTTTCATATTTGCTAGGTTTTTGGTTTTGCTTGCTAAAGTGTCATGAATATTTATGACAAAGTGCCCTTTAGATGAGTTTTAGCTACAGGAACTTCACTTCCGCTTGAAGAAGTAGATTTTTTTGTTGCTTGTTCAAATTCGTGCTGTTTTCATTCAGCTGCACTACCAATTTAATAGTCCTTTTTTATTATTTTTTTTTAAGGGATGGTTTTGAACCTGTATGGCACAAGCTGAAATCAGATTTGAAATATATATATATGTGTGTATTTAGCTTGGTAAAATTATTTTCTAGTCTGAAAGACATCAAAATAAACCTAAGAGCGTGTTTATTTTGTGCTGTGTCAGTTAGGAAGTCCCCGTTCGCTTTTTTGTTTGGATTAGTTGTGTCATGCTGTGGGGTTGTCTTTTCTGTCTGTTACGATGTGCCAAAGTCCACTGTGTGTGCACAGTTGCTTGATTTTCTGCATGCCCATTAAATGCAGCTCTTCCAGAGGGTCTCGGATTAACTGCAGATGTGCAGGATTGCAGTACTGTGTGCGCTCAGTTAATCCATCATGTGAGACCATGGCAGTGGCCCTTTAGAGCCAATGCAAGGTAAGTGAAAACAGCCTGACTACTTTTTTTTCTTTTTTTCCCAGCATCTTGGGAAAATATAAAAAGCCTAGATAATGTTTGTGTTTTTAATCTTATTAGGTGACTGATACAAGCACTGCCACTGTTTAGTACTTAGTATTTTCATTGTGCACTTAACAGACTGTCCTGTACTGATATGGGATAAGTGTTTTGCGCTATACACTGGACACCTAAAATAATTCTTCAGCACCAAACAAAATAGCATTGAAAAATCAAAGCACTCAAAGTCAAAAAGTCTGAGAGCCACAAAATTTTGTTGATGTGATCTCTCTTGAGTTTTCAGGGATGTCTGACAATAGGAAGGTATTAGTGAGCCCTAGTTTGCCTAAAATGTTTGTAATTTTTAAGGATGCCTGGACTTTTGATCCTGAACTGTGACTCATCTACAATAGTCAAATTCTGAGATACTGAACTAGTATTTGGGGACGTGGTGTGAGGCTCATGTTAGTTTTCTTACTTCTCCCYGAACCTGGACTCAAGCCTTGCTGGCTCTCTCGTTCTTCAACCCTCGTTACTTTTCTCCAAATAACAATGTTTCTATTTCACAAGTTTTTTTAAAGGTAGCTTCCTTGAAAAAGATACTTAAATCAATAAGCAGTGGATACGCTTTAAATGAAAATAACGACTGTATCTATTTGTACCTATAAGAGGAACTATTGAGCTATACCAGCAGAGCATTTTTAGTGTGGATATGGTTATTCTGTCAAGTCTGTGCTTTATGTTGGTAAACGCCTATGAATACCAGGGGCTCTCTGATAGCTTTAAGACAGACTTGGACAACATGGACTTTCCTCAGAGACATGTTAGAAAGTTAAGTTTTTTTATGCAGCTTTCTGTTGCCTCTTGCTTAGGTAGCCCTTTCTGGGAAGAGCCAATGGAGAGAATTGCACTGAAATGTTTTTTTTTTCCAGTCATTACACAGTTCTTATTGCAAAACCTTTTTAGTGCTATTCTTTATTTCTTCGTACCTTTGCCTATGGCTCGCATAAAATTAATTATTTATGTGCAAAAAAGGTTTTGCCCCCTGGTTCCTTTGAGCTGCTTTTCTGATATTTGAAGATGCAAGGAGTTAATTTTGTTGCTGCTCCATAGAAACAGTATGGATTTTTTTTTCAGATCTCGTCTTTGACAAGTAGACCTATAGCCATTTTACACACAATCAGTCTTCTGACTGTTTAGTTACTGGTGCTCCATTTCTTTTATTCACATCAGAAATGTTGTGTTCTGAACCAGTCAAATTTCTACATGATACTAGTATATCAATACTTAACAGGGTTAAAGTGAGCATGCAGTATCAGTATTGAATAGAGTCGCCATTGCACCATTCCAGAAAGCATGCTTTCTGTGCTGGTTGAAACATCCTGCAGTTTTTTTAAATATTTGATGCCTCTCCTAGATATTTTGGTGTTTTGGTTTTAGYCAAATACCTTGCATCTCAAACAATATTTTCTGAGTAACCTCTTGGAGAAGTATAACTGAAGGCTAGCTACACATCATTCTGATAAGAACTAATATCTTAAATCTTGGCACAGATTAGAGTTGATGAGGGCGTCGAACTGAAACTTGTCACTTAGTAATACCTGCTTTTAATGACTAGAAGGTGGAAGACCGTTATTTTTCTTTGGATTTCTTTGCAGGTACCAGTACTCTTCTGCATTCTCATTAATGCTGGTTTGGGGGAATATATGAAATTTTATATTGAACCTTGTGATTTTTCAAGATCTCTGTCCCATTTTGGGGCCCTCATAATTGAATGTCTATAAAACATTAGCTTGAAGGTTCAGTATAAGGATTGTTTAAAGGGGAAGCCTTTTTTCTCTGTTACAGGAGATGTAAACCTCCTTCCTTAGGTAATATGACAGAATGAATCAGTTTGAGCAGCAACTAGGGCCTGTCACAAGTCTTAAGTGGGAGATAAAACTTGCTCTCTTTGATGCATTTGTAGCCCTGGATACAGATTCTTGCTTCTTTCAGAAGCAAATACATCTTTTTATAGAGTTCTTGGGGCAAGTATGAAGATGTGATAACTAGTAGGTGCCTGATATTAGTCATTTTTGACTGAAATATTCATGGAAGGTGCTTATGTAACTTGGTAAGTATATGGTGCAGGGACTTGTGCAGAGTACAGCAGATCTGCTGTGCACTGAAGTGTTGTCATCCAACAACCTGGGATAATGTGCAGCATATTTCTCCTCCAAATGTTGTTAACAGATGAATATTAGTGAGAAGATAAMTATTGCTAGTGTTTCCTATAGATTTCTCAAGAAATAAATATCTAAACTGAGTTTCAAGAATTTACCTTGAATTTTATATTGCAGTTTTGCCTGCATTCAAGTACTCAGACTAAGGAGATTTTTTTTGTGTATGCTTAGTTGAAGTTTGTTATTAGTAAGCCATCTTTCAAAACTTTTAGAGTGAAATCTTCCCAGTTAGCTTGTACAGGAAAGCCATAATTCATTTAGAATTTTAACCTGTAAAAAKATAAAATCTGTATGTATTAGGTGGACCAGTAGAGTGCATTATCTTTTTAGGGCAAACTCGAGAACAGTACAAGTAAGGTTACTGGTTTGAAGACGTAAGTAACTTCGTAAAATGGCAGAAAAGTTGCATGTGCTTGAGAAGGTTTTGTTTGAATATGAGTCAATAATGTGTTTACAGAAAGGAAGATAAGTTACAGAATTTCCATTTTGTTCAATGTTGATTATCGAAGGTGTGTTGGAGAATAGAGTTTTAGTATTACACGTTTGTGAGCAGGAGGTATTGCAGTAGCAGAATATAGAAATTCGGGCATATCTTTCGTGACTCCTGTTACGTTGGTTATTGATTATTACTCTAGAATTTCTTGAGGCCACASAGAATGAATGTTGTGCTTGTAGTATTTAGTAGTTAGAGAATCTTCAGGGATGATGAATTTTAGTGGTAGTCTTTGTGGTCTTGCAGAATGTGCAGCCCTGTGTTTTATGTTTCTTACTGCTTGAGAATACTTGACCTAATTGTGAAATTAAAGGCATGTGTCACAGTCTTTATAATTTGATGACATCTTTTTTGGTTAAATATATTTTTCTCTTTAGTTGAAAATCTTGCCTGTGATCAGGATTTAATATACATTGTTATTGATGGTTTTATGTTTTTCTCTGCATAATTTGCATTGATAGCTTCTGGAGTTTAGTTTAAAGTTGCATTCAGCTACATAATTTGTTCTGGGGAAACAAAGCACTTGAGCCAAATCCTAACAGAGGAGAAAATACAGAATGTCTTCAAAAAGAATAGCCAGTTAGAAATGATTTGACATCACACTTATGAACTCTCTCTGACGTTGTTAACGATGAGACAGTAACTGTTAATACAAAAAAAGACATGAAGATTGAATCTTTTTTTGTTGTTTTTGATTGTTATTTATATCCAAAGTGCACTATGCAGTCTTGCYACTGGGTGGGGTATGACTGTAGTAGATTAAAATGCATTATACTCAAGTAACCAGAATGTCTGCTAAGAAGAAAAAGTGCTAATTACATTTTTGAAATGTTTTAGTGATATTAGCTCTGTGCTTCAAATACAAATGTAAAAAGCATGTTGCACACATGCTTTAGGTTGAGGCACACGGATACCTATTCTTGCAATACAAAGTTTTTTTTTACTGGATAATTTATTCAGATAAGTCATTTAGATACGCCTTTGCTTGTTCAAGAATCTGTTTTCATGGTGTACTATTAGAATTGAACAAGAAGTGATTAGCTGACTTTCCCTCTTCCTTTAGGCGTATCATTTAAAAATTGCATGATGTGTGATCAATTGGAGATTCTGAACAGGGAGATTGAAAGGTTATTACAGAGCAACATCGTGGAAGAAGGCACTTTAAACTCGGACTGTCCTCAGCCATCAAGGACTGACTCCTTGGATAGAATCACTGATTCAGACAATGGAGCAAAATACATATTAGTGCAGGTATTCAATGCCATGAGATGTAGTGCTTAGGTGTTTTTTGAATCAGATTGTTCTTTACTGTGTAATATTCCCCCCACCTTCCATCAGAGATCATAGAGAAGGCTGAAAATGTAGAACTATGCATTTTTTCCCCCCTATTTCTTCTTTTCCACGGTCATGCAAATTTTGGATTTTTTTATTGGAGAAATAATGAAGTGATCTACTGATGGCATTCCAGTTTGGGGAGGGGTCGATATTTTCCCCCTTTACCTTCCCGTATTTGGGACAGTAACATGGCCCTGGAGAACACTCAAAAATAGTAAAAATGGTGCAAGTTGTCTGTGTAGTTTAACATTAATTGTTTTTTAATTTGACTTTCCCCATCTGGAATATAAATTATTACTCATGTTGTAATGATTTTCTATATCCAGTATAGCAGTTCCCCTGCATCCTTAATTGCAAAATCCTGACACAGTCTGTGGCCATTTGTGTTGTTCCAATACTGCTGCACTTTTCACTGATTTATTTTATAGGCCAGTTTAAAAGTGATTTTTCCTATCCTGTCCAGCTAGTCATCCCTTTCTTTACAAGTCTCATGTTCTTGGCAGATTTTTTTAGGTTAAATGCAGGCATTTCCTACTAATTTTCAAGCTCATAAGAGCTGAGAAGCAAGCAATTGATCTTCATGTTTGAATTTGCCATTCTCTGCGTCACACCAAACAGTTAAATCTCGTTCAGAGGCTTAAAATGAACTCCTTGTTTCTGAATTACTTTGGAATGGTTAATTCTTGGGGGAATATACAGTTATCRTGAAAGTGTGTCTTGTGGTGTCCTTGAAACAAAGCTTCTGAAACTTGCTAGATTGCAAACTATTTTAGTGAAGGAAATGATAATAAGGAGCATTCCTCAATTCTGAAGCTCTGCCTTTCAACACTGCTGAGTAGCCAACTGGATTTAAAGCACCAAAGCTGTAGACATCTTCAGGGATGAAATTTAGTGCAGACTGGTAAATAATCCTTATGGTAAACCAGGGTATTCTGATGTGATTTTAAAAGCATTTCTGTATTTTTATTGCACAATACATACACTTGTGTTAAATTCAAGTGTCTCAATGTTTTTGGGTACTGTAGTTGAAATAGGTTTGTTGAGTACAGTTTGTTACTGTTCTGAAAATTATGATGATCTCTAGAGAAATCTGAGAGTGCTGTCATATTTTGTTTATATTTGAAGGACTTGGCCACTGATTGGTGGTGCCCTATTTTATTCATTCTTCTTTCAGTTTCTTTTTGGAAGCAGGAAACTATCAAAATGGGCAAAATATGAATATGGATAGAGACAAAAAAAGCCAAATCTTAAGTATACAATGGTAGCTAAGTCTATAAATATATTTTTTTTTTCTTTTTTTTTTCTTTCCAGAAGCCAGCAGAAAAGGGAGAGTTCGAGTCTCTGAGTTGTCCACAGAACCAGTCTGGCACTTCTGAATCAGAAAATTCAGCAAGTGCTGGAAGGATAATGCTGAATGAGTCTGATCCTTTGCTGCCCTCCTCTGGCTCTCCCTTTCAGTCRGATCTGCAAGGAGAAACCACACGAACCTCTAATGCTGTGACAGGTAAAGCATAGAGAGGCCATTGAAGACACTTCTTATTTTTTTACATTTTACCTGGAACTTGAATCTCAGAATTTGGATTCCCCTCTTAAAAGTTATGCTGTAACTTTTAGTGTTCATCTTCCAAGGTAAACAAAGGTGTGACTTTGTTCTTGCTTTTACTTGTTCTATCCTTGCTTATAATGTAGCTTTTTTGTATGATTATAGTTTCAGTTGCCTTCTTTAAACAATGCGGTTCAGTCCAATGCCATTATGGTAGTGACTTTTTGAGAATTTAATGGCATTTCATGTTAGAAGTAGATTCAGCTTTTTATCATCGTACTAGAGGCTTAAAATTTACTTTTGAGTTCTGCTGCAGTGCTTAAATTAATCAGTTACTGTCCCGGGGTCTGTTGTCTATACAAAATAATTCGTAATACTCACTTAAGTTGTTTCATGGGAAATGGTTTAAGTGCTTAAGTTTTAGAGAACTTGAAAATTTATGCTGTTTATTTTAATTGTTTTCATAGTATCTGGATTTAAACTACTGTTTTCCCTATAAAGGGCTTGTTTGGTGTGTCAAAAAGGTAAATCAGCAGATAGAGTATTTGAAATAGCCATTTGTAACCAGTATAAACTGCAAGATTTAAAAGCATAAAAACATTGGAAAGAAAAAGGCTTGCTCAAGGATGCTCCTCGGAAGCTTCCTGTTGCTGTAGTATGAACAGCTTTTAGAGGCATTATTTAAATTCTCTCAGCAGTTACTGTTACCGAGGAGCTCTGTAAACATTCCGCTTGAGCTCGTTGATGCTGACCTTGAGCCAGGAGGCTGTATGTTGGGGAGTGGAGGGGCTGGGGGTGTTGGTGTTTCTAAAATACTGTTTTTGATTACCAATTCATTCCRGTGTGTGCTTATCACTGCCTACTGCAGTACCTGAGCAATGTAATTGTAATAAAAAAACCTGCCAAGCGTAGTTACTATGTTCGCTTAGCATGTTTACATTGTGTGCAGCTCCTCTTTAGTGTATGTGATGCAATACTAATTTTAGTATTTGCACGAGCAAGTTTATATTTGAATTGCTTAGAGTCCAGTCTTTGGTTTTATATTTGTGTTATTTGCTTTCTATCTTTCCAAGTAAGAGTCTACTAGATTGCTGAGAAAGACTTGAAAATTGTAGTCCCAATTGTTAGCTTAGCTCATTTTTTTCTTCTTACTATTTTTGTTTTTCTRTGGTGCTCTCTGTGATAGTTATAAGTTTTTATATTAATCCTTTTCTGTATGTTATTTTTAGTTAAATTAGGTGGGCTGAGAACCTCTTTGTAAATAACGGTATCAAGGAGCAGCCTTTCTGCAGTTCCATTCAATACAGACTTTAAAAAAAAAATTCTTTATGGATATGACTGCAAAAATTTTGTATTATTCCTATCCAATGAAACTTGCTAAAACATGTGAGAACTTTGAAGGAAAGGTATATACTGCAGTCTTTGAGTCTGTTCTGCCGTTGATGAAAGACTGCTTTTTCTGCTCTTTTTGACATTTTCTTTAACATCAAAAGACTCATTTCTCCATTCTGTCGTGTATAATTTAAACAGCAGTAGCTTTTTAATGATTACTATTGTTTCTACTTCATATTTTATCCTGCTGCAGATCATAAGCAGAGTTTTCTAGCASAAATTAATTTCTTCAAATATTAATATGCCAGAATAGTATCCACAGCCCTRTGTTTCTACTTAGTGCTTCATTTAATTCAGTGATCTTTGTGTTGTTACTCAGTGACCATTAGTGGCTTGAAAATCGCTATTCTGTATACTCTTTATGCTACAATAACTGAGATTATTACTGAATATTTACTAATTGTTTGGGTTACAGATCTTGCTGAATGTTAAGCTTTGAACCTTGTGTTTGTCTTCAGTTTTTCAGAGTGGGGACAGTGGTGTCCAAACTATGGAGGAAGTTGTGAGTTCACAACCTGTGCCATTAGAATCTGAAAATAATACTGACAACATGGAAAATAATTCCCCTGGTAAGATTTTTTCTGTTTAAATTGAGCAGAAATTATGTTTAAATGTCTAGTTTTAAAAYACTGAATTTAAAAAACTAAACAAAGCCAAAACCAGAAAGTTCTAGAAAATCATTTTCCCTCAGTACTGGTTTAACAAGTATTCTCTTGTTTTTAGCGTCAGTTTTGGATGACAAGGGCGAGCAAAGTAATGAGGAGGAACAAAAAACTGTCAAACCTACAAGTAAAGAGTTCAGGAAAACCTGGGGTTTTCGAAGAACTACTATTGCTAAGCGAGAAGGTACAGGAGACCTTGACATGGACTCTAGTGAACAGCAGCCACAACAAGGCTTAAACCTCAGGCGCAGTGGACGACAACCCAAGCGAACAGAAAGAGTGGAAGAATTTCTTACCACAGTAAGACGTAGAGGGAGGAGGAATGTTCCTGCTGCTCTGGAAGATTCAAGTGAAGCAGCATCCTGTCCAGCTACGGATGCTGAAACTGCCTCAGAAGGTAGTGTAGAGAGTGCTCCAGATATAAAACCCAGCACTCGCAGTAGTACTAGGAGCTGTAAGGATCGGAGAGCCTCTAAAAGAAGACGTACAAAAGAAGAGGAGGAGGAGGAGGATGAAGAGGAAGAAGAGGAGGAGGAGGAGGAGGATTCTTCTGGAAGTGATAGTGATGGGTTGACACTGAAGGAACTGCAGAATCGGTTAAGGAAGAAACAGGTTGACAAAAAACCTGTGCAACTGACATTAAAAGAAATACAGAACCGTCTGAGGAAGAAAAACACAGAACAGGATCCTTCAGAAACAGCTGATAACCAGGCTGAAGAAGAAGTAAAGACTGAACTGCCTGTCAAACAAGAGCCTGAAACTGCAGACAGCCCTGAGGTTGCCAGTCAGGTGGTTGTGTCAGAGGAGCACACTGAAGATCTTCAGGCTGAAGACATAAAACCTGCCCTTGGAGCAAAAGGGGTTGCAAGTGAAGAACCTGAAGAGTTCCCAAAAAGCAAGCCTGAATCTGAGATTTATGACCCCAATACTCTCTACTGTATTTGTCGCCAGCCTCATAATAACAGGTGGGGAGAACTTAACTAAACCACCAATGCTTTTTCTGTGACGGAAGCAAACTAGTTGCTAAAGTTTACCTTTTGAATGTGTCTAAATGAGTTGATAAATTTACATTTATTTAAAGTTGTGTGTGTGTGGGGGGGGGATTGTTTGTTTATTTTGTTATACAACAAATATTTAAAAGCGAGATGAGAAGAGAAATTAATGAATAAAGTAGTGAACATTGAACTAAGGGCATATTTATATATTGACATGGTACTTAAGGTCTACATGAAAAATCTGTTGAGTTTTAATTGTTTTTCATTTCCTGATGTTTTACTCCTTGTGTTTTTCAGGTTTATGATTTGTTGTGATAGATGTGAGGAGTGGTTTCATGGTGACTGTGTGGGTATTTCTGAGGCTCGAGGGCGGCTTTTGGAAAGGAATGGTGAGGACTATATTTGTCCAAACTGCACCATTCTGCAGGGACAGGATGAGACTGTTTCAGAAACAGACCAACAGGAGGCTAAAGAAAGGCAAGTAAATGTGGATGGCACAGAATTCACGAGCATAGGAACAGTTGAACAAAAGTCTGTTGAGGACCAAGGAATCAAGGGTAGGATTGAAAAAGCTGCAAATCCAAGTGGGAAGAAAAAACTCAAGATATTTCAACCTGTAAGTATTTTTTAAAATTCCTACTTATACTTTGTTTATATTTGAGCAAATTGGTTACTTATTTCTGTAGACCTCCTGTGTTTGTTTATTRAAACTAAAAATGAAGTTCAACAGTCATTAAGTATAATAATCTAGCAGAGGTTTATTTATAGATTTTTTTCAGGGCAGTAGCTAGCTAAAACTGAGTTTCATTTTGAAATAAGAGGTTTACAGGTTGCATGTGTTATAAGGAAATGTCCTACTACCTACATATTTACTACTWTGGAAATCTTTCCATTACATACTTAGAATTTTGGACTGGTTTATTCTTGCTTAAAAAAAAGACACATTCAATGACAGTGACATTTTTTACTTGGTATTGGTGAATTGCTGTGCTGAAATTAATTCCAGCCCTTGTTGCAACCTCTTGTCCTTCCTTCTCTTTGAAGTTCTAAATTTTGTCTCGATGCTCCTTCAATTTTTTAAAATAGAGAATTTTTTTAAATGCCTTGTGAAGCAATAACATTAAAATGTTTCTTTCAAATTGCTGCCGCTTCTGGCACGGAGTGTAGAAGAAGCTTATATTCTGCAATATCTGCAATATCAATTTTATGCCTGATAGAAAATACAGGCAGAAAAGCTCTTCAGTTGAATGTGTACAGGTTTAAAAACTTTATATCACAGTGATTGACTTTGTACTGTTAAAGTTACTGTAGTAATGCTGATAATTTAGTATGTCTTGAACACTGTAGTTTGCAAATTTGCTGTCAGGATACTGCAGCTGTTGATATTTTTGTTCATTGATTGTTTATTAGTGCCCAGGTTTTAAACTTTGGAATCAGCACAAGAGTCAGCCTTGCAAGTTTGAGCATAAACTGCTGCTTGGAGATTTTTTTTCTATTAGTGTAGTGTATTTTTTACTAAGTATCAAATAACAAATAAGTATCTTTAAAAAAGTTTACTTAAATTCCAAGGCTATCTGTATCAGTAAGGTAAGTGTGCTGACCATGTRAATCAGGACATTAAATGAGCCTAATACAGGAGTAATTAATGTACTAAGTTAGATATTTAAGAAAAASTTCTCAAAGTCAAACCTAGTTTCCAAGGCAACTGTTATGTACCCTTTTCATACCTCCAATTTTTCTGTTGAATTTAATCTGCAGTTCACTTGTAGTGTTAGTTTTAAATTGTGCTCCTGAATATCTCCCAAGTCCTCTCTGATGTCAACATTTAAACATGTTACTTGAATGTGGTTGGCATTTTTCCTTTAGTAAAAGAAAAACATGTRATTATCTTCAATTAACTCATCACCTCTTAAAAGAGTATTACTTGTATTTTAAATGAATCTTTTGGCATTGGGTAAAATTATAAAACAACTCTCCTTGTATCTGACAAATGACAGTAATTTGGGGGAGAACTGAACCATCAAGTCTGCAGTTTAGTCCATGCTGTCTCACATTTCAGAAAAGATTCTTCTAAAGCTTATTTAAACAAGCACCTCTGAATCTGTGCATAATCACCCCTTCTGGGYAAAAAGATCATTGGTATTTAGCATGTTGAAAATACTCAGTTACCCTGACTGAAGGGTCTGAATACTCAGCTTATCACTTAAGTTCCCTCTGTCAGTGTGTTCTCTTACACCAGTGTTCAGAGCACTTTAAGAGCACTCCTTGTTGCTGTCAGTGCAGCATCCACTGCAGCAGTCTTGGTCTGTGGTTAAAGCTCCTAGGATTGTATAGCTACAAACATCAACCATGAGGCATTTTATCATCAGCTTGAGTAATTGCCTTTAATTAAAGACAATTCAGCTGCCTGAGCTATGAGGTGCTTCCTAGGAAATGGATTTTTTTCCTTTGCATTTCTCAATTAAAGTGTTTACATAAATAAAATGTTCTAATTCTGRTTATTGTTTACATAAAATGTTAAATATTCTAAAGCATAATCTTTTCTTTTCATGGGGAAATCCAGCACAAAAGCACCAGTTTCATCAGATCACAGCACCTAATGCTGTCTTACTGATTTTTGATAGAAGAAAAAAAAAAGTATTTGAATAGCTTCTTTTTATGGAAATTCTGCTGGTAGAGCTGTTACTTTTGGTAATCACAAATTGCTATTCATCAGTAGGAGAAAGCCTGTCTTAAAGACACAATACTTTGGGGAATTAGCTTAGTTATATACAACACTTCTATGAATAATTGAAAAGAAGGAGCAAGAAAGATTAATGGCATAATCTTTCTTGTGATATGTTGGAGTCTAAAGAACTTCCAGTATTTCTTGTCTTTGAAGTAACGCTTAATTTTAACATTGAAGTGCTTTGTATAAAAGACTTTAAATTGAGAAGTGAAGGAAAAGAAAATAATGGATTTACATATGTGAACTTCTTGTTCAACCTATAATAAATATTATAGGTTTGGGGCAGAGCACCAAAATAATGCACCTGTGTGCTTGTACGTGTTGAAAGTTTAGGAAACTAGYCTCCTTTAATTCACTGCCAGCAGACCATCCGTTTTGGAGTACAAAGGTACTCTAAAAACATTTTTGTCTTTGTGTGGCAAGACTGAAATCCTTAAATTTGTATGGGTTGGTTGTAAGTAGCTGTTTCTGGCATCTCAAGATGCCAGAAACAGCTACTTTTTTTCTTCTGTTTGAAGTTCAAACTCGTTCTTCTTCCATCTTCAGGTACCTGAAGCTCCTGGTGCATCAAAGTGCATAGGTCCTGGCTGCTTTAATGTGGCTCAGCCTGATTCTGTGTATTGCAGCAATGACTGCATTCTCAAACATGCTGCAGCSACTATGAAATTTCTAAGTTCAGGCAAAGATGCAAAACCAAAACTTAAAGAGAAGATCAAACCAAAATCTGAAAAACCTGCTGTGCCAAAATCTCAACCACAGGTAAGCCTGTACTCTTAATTCTGAGCAGTTTTACAGACATAGTTATCCTGAAGGACAGGGACTTGTTTCTGTGCCCTTGTTTTTGAGACAGAAACAAAATGACAAAATTCTGCATCAGATTGTGCTGTTTTTTCCCTTTCTTCTCATATTAAGAACATACTTAATTCTTTTGAGTATAAAATATTTTCCTTTACGGCACTTTGTCATATCATTTCATTTTTTTTAAATTGGTCCTAAATACAGATGAGTTTCTGAAAGGATTTTCTGCATAGCAGCATACTCTTTTTTGAATTTTTTTTGTCATAATTAGGAATTCTTGTGAATTAATACATCATTGCATCATGTATACATTTGGAGAAGCAAGAAGATTGCAACTAAATAAAAAAAAACCCTTTTGTTCTTCAGCTTCTGCTTTTGAAACAACTGAAAAATAGTTTTTCAAACAAACAAAAAACTTTGATAAATACACTTTTATTGAGAGGATTTCCTTACTATACTATCATTAGGAAGTTGCAATGTATTATTTGAGCTTTAGAGACTGGATTAGAAATTACATAATTTCAAGTATGTTTATCAACTTCCTGTAAACTAAATTTATTTACATAGGCCTGTATTTGTAAAAATATGCTTATGATGCATATTATTAATTAAGCTTCTTTTAACTATGCAGGCAAGCACTAAGCCTCTCTTGATCCCGAAGAGACCACTTCCTGAGAAAAAAGAGGGGAACGTGAAGAAGACTATTCTGACAACGGTCAAGACTGAGGCAAATCCTCAACCTGTTGCTAAAGAGCCAGCATCAGAAAACTGCACACCATCCTGGGCAAGCGATCATAATTACAATGCAGTAAAGCCAGAAAAGACTGCTGCCATTTCATCTTCACTGTTGTTCAAATGTATGTATCGCATAGGGATATTCCTGAATAATCATTTAAATTTTCTTTGAATACCCATCCGTTCTTGGCTCTGCAAGATCTAGGGAGTTTAGGTTTGTTTTTTTCCCTAAATGGCACCAAGCTTCCTATCTCCACCTTCAAAGATTCATACATACAGATGCACACAAATGGGAGACACTTTTCAAAGTTTTATTCGTTTTACATGATAGATCTAAGATTTAGTTAGAGCCTGTCAATCTACCTCGCTGATTTCTGGATGCAAAGGTCCTGATTTAAGCTTTAATTTTTTTCCTACAAAGGCAACGACTGTTACTGATTTAGAAAAGGTGAGTATTGATACACTTGTGTTAAGCTTAACAAAAAGGTTGCACAGAGTGCACCCTGTATCAGCAATTGATTGTACTAATCTGAATTGTATTTTTGTAATTTAGATTTGGCACCTGCCTCTCAGGTCTTGCATTTTCATTGCTAGTGCTGAGAAGGAAATCTTCAGTGTGGTATCCAACAATACTTTACACTTCTGCAAACAGCTTTTAACTGTCAAGTGTATCAAGTTCTTCTTCTTGCTGCTTTTCTTCCTTACCATGGGATAATTTAAGGACCATTCTTTAAAGCTGGGGGGGAGGCAGTGCCTTTATTTTTTTTCTTTCTATTTGTATATGTTCATACCTCACACATTATTCACACAAAGAAGGACACATCTTAATCTGCCTAGTATTAGGCAGATATATTGCCTTGCATATTTTTGCAGGTTTTGAAATAGCATCCTTGTAACTCATGGAAAGGTAAGTAAATGCTGCTTTGTAGTCTGAACAACCCTTTCTGGTAATGACATGATTTTCATTGCTTCCAGATGAGTAGTTTTGTAGTGCAGTGATGGAGCTTCAATTGAAGTTTTGCTTTTCCCATATACAATACACATGACCTAGTTTCTAATGCTTTCTCACTTCAGGTATTGTAAATTCAGAAGTTCAGTTCTCCCACCTTTCTTTACCACATATTATCTAGTTTTCACTTTATTTTCAGAAATTTACCTAGTTATTAAACACTTTATAAATCAGTAATTTTATATATGAATCTATAACAATATAGATTWATTTGGGAATAAGATTTTTGAATAGGATAGTTTTAAAGTGTTTAGGGAGCACAAACTACCCTAAATTGCTCAGTTTATTATTGTAGTGCATATTAGAYTTACTAAGCATTTTATTTGTATTTGCCCACATGAAATAATTATCAGTTAAGTGTTCTCTGTATATTCTACTGAGACCTTTAGATCTATAGACTTAATATATGTTTATTAAGGCCCTTTGCCCCATATAGTAAACACTTAAACCAATTAATTTTTATAAATTTTCGTTTTAAACTTTTAAAATTGTTTAGCTTTTTAATCAGAAAATCCTAGCATTTTAAACTTAAAAATGAAAAGCTCCAAATGAAATTACCCATCCTTATTTTGCATGTCAAACTTGTATCGCATTCTTTGTCTCAATGTAGCTATATATACATAGCTTAACTATATCCTTAAAATCTYGTAATTAGTATAGTTTATTTTTTCTACGAGATCAAAATACAGGTTGGGAGGGTGATTTTTGTTTTAGGCACGTAATTACTTTTAAATGGTACATCACTGGAGGTTAAACAGACTTCATCAATTACTGTAGAAAATTAGATTCCTCTAATAGGAATAGTTGGTGAGAAATCTGTGTATACTAGATTATAGTATTGAATATGAAACAACCTAGTTTGCGTGATGAAGAATTCTCATATGAAATGAGAGGAAGAACTGCAGAAAGCTGTTACTAAGGTAAGTTCTACTAATCTATAGGGGGCTTTGTGCTTTTATGAAGTTATGAGAATTTTTTTGTTTGTGAAAAAGATAATCCTGCTTTTGGCTGGATAGGTTTAATCTGTAATCTTTCTCAGAAGCTGCTGTTGCATCTTCTCTGGAGTATTCTACAAAACTTTATTTAGAATTTTTTGATGTTTGAAATATAGACACRTGGCATTGTGAAAATTGGTGAGTCTTCTGACTTCAGATATCTGGGTTAGACCTAWAAGTGTGAACTAGCCTGCAGAGAAGAAGAAACACCTTGAACAGGCAAAATGTAATCTGGCTTAGATCCTCATTTTAGAATGAGGTGACTAGCTCTTTACTAATACCCACTTCTGAACATGGATTATAAGAGGCATTTAAGTTAAGATGTCTAGGTGTCTTGTATTTGGGCTAAAGTTCTCCTTGAGGGAGTGAAGAACAAGATCTTTCCRTATTTAATATTCCTAAATACCACCTGTGTTCTGCGTTGCTTACATTGCTTCTGCAAATCCTTCTTTACGTGACTAAGTGCACATAAGACCCTTCAGGAATTAAGGGCAGGGGCATAAGTTAATGGCCCTGCTTGAGATCTTGTGCACTAAAACCTGAAGCCTGGTTATTGGTTTACACTAACACCTTGATGTTCCCAGTGAAAAAGATCCTGTTTATTATTTTTAATGGTTTAATTACTAAGTGTGGACATATCTTGGTTCTTTATCTATGTATTTTCACTAAACAAAAATACTGTAGCCAGTATTTGAACCTCATAGTTCAAATTGAGCATGCATTGCATTCTGTCTTTGAAAAATATGGCCTCTAGTTTCATTAGAGAAATTGGTACTCATTTAGTGTACAGTGCTCAACTTCAATATAGAGTTTCAAAAGTTACCCTTAGCTTTCAGATGTGGGTTGTTGAGGTTTAGGAGCCCCCAGTGTGGTGGTTCAGGGACTCAAGATGTGACATAAGGCTTGAATTTGTCATATTGAGCCAGTGTTAAGCCACAGTGCTTGGGAACCTGGCTAAGGAGTTGTAAATTTGTTAACAAATCAAAATAGACTCATTTAACCAAAAGTAAATTTACTTTTATCTGTGAGGGGAACCCAAAAATTACTTGTGAAGCACTTTCATTTCATAAGAGTCCAAAATACTTAAATCTTGCCCTTCAAAATATTTGACTTTAGAAATAAGGAACCAGGAAGGCAGTTAATGTCAAGTGCTTTTTGACTCTAATGAGAASGTTTACGATTTTATATTTAACCTAATTAATATTATGCATTGCATTTTTAAGAAATAAAATAGAAATAAAATTTCTATGAAGAAAAAATATATTGTTGCTGCTGCCCCAGGGAGCTTCTTCTTCTCTTTCCAGYTAATTAGCTAATTACTGAAAAAGTGAATTTACAAAACAGAAAATAGTACAGAGAAGATTTGATACAACCAGATTCTGGACAAAAATGCCACTAATGAACAGCAAGTGTCATTAATGGTGGCTAGTAAGCACCAAAAGTAGGATGCTCAGAAAAATTTGGCATTATTGACTTAAAAGACAACACAAAACACTTGTACCTGTAGAATCAGCACGATTGCTTGCCATTTCACAGGAAAACCAATTGCATTGCTTCACTACCAGTTCAAAAAAAACCAGTATGTCAAAGGAAACCTCTTCATCTGGGTGAAGGAACACTTCACACTTCTTTCCTTTTTTCCCCCATGTAGAAATCTCAGCTGTGCTTGGACTGCCTGCTAGTACCAAGGTGTATCAGCAATCTTGAGCATTTATGTGTCTGAAGAACTTCAGTCAGGTCTTCTGACTATTAGAAGAGTGACGGGTGTGGAGTGGATTTTGTCTTTCCCTCCTCCCCTCCCTGTTTTTGCACTCTTTAATTGCCAAGTAGAAGTCGAGAGCAAATACTTCACCAGCTGTAGAACAGACGATAAACCCAAGGGAAGGGAAGAAGATAAAGGTTTGCAGTATCCTGGTGTTTAGGACAGGCAGCCACAGGGAGATTGAGTATACTTAAAGATCTGCAAAAGCTGCATTTATTGATGAAAGCAACTAAATGCATGGGATAGTGAAGAGATTTTATAAGATAGAAATAACACACTAAGTAGACTTCTTGCTGCTGTCTTGGGGGTAGAGTGTCAGGAGTTAAATGCAGATTTGTGCTGATAGAGAACCAACACACTTATTTACTTAGCTGTAGATAGTTATATGGGTATCTTTTCCTGATAATATCAATGTTGGTAGTAGCATTTCACAGAAATTGTTGATGAGTGGGACTGCAGAGGGGAAGGGGTTATCTCGAGGAGATGAGGATTCACGCTGCAACCTGCAGAGCAGAGTTCAGSAGCGGCTGCTTTCTGCTGCCACCCTCCGGCAAGTGAGGCGCCTGGCTTGGCGCGCGCCAGCCCTGCTTTTACAGTTTGTTTTGGTACCGCCTTTCCTTTTTCTTCATATTTTTTTTTCCCCTGCAGCTCAACTTTTCAACATCCAAGATCTGTTCACAAAGTGAAGAGCGTTTGCTTTAACATTATATAATTACAGGACTGCTCCATTTCTACATTCCCCTAAGAACATTTAGAAGCTTTGTCGAGGGATTGTATGATTTATAGCCTAGTCATTTGTGTAGTTCTTCAGTGATTTCACACAGATGATTTTATATATATATATATATATGTAGAGAGAGAGAGATAGCTATATAGTATATAGAATGTAGATAGAATAGCAAGTCAGGGAAAAACAGACAACACACCACTGTGGTGCAGGAGAAAAATACATTGTACTCAAGACTGACTTATGGCTTCGGATATAGGTGAGAGTAGGAATGAGAGAATGAAAGTTTAAAGCTGTAAATACTGTTGTGARAAGATGCAGCCTTCTCTGTACACAAACCAGTACCTAATTAGTACTTCTCTCCAGGCAAAGTTTATTATCAGCTTAAGTTGTGACTCTTGAAGTTAAGTTGTGACTGACTGTACAGTGTTTATGGATCTTCTGGTTCAGCTTGACTACTAGAAAAGTAGTTAACCTAACCTGGGGAATTCGTTTTTAACTCTTGAATGTACTTACCTGCAGAGATTGATTGTAGCTGAACCTGTYGCCGTTATTTTAGTTGGAGTGCTTCCCAACAAGATAAACTAGTCAGTGCTGAGTTCCATACAGTTTTGTGGAACTTGCTTTAT